TCATAGCACCAAGTCTTAATGAAGGTAGGGAGAAGATTCCCTCTTTGGACGACATCTACATGGGTGTAAATGGTTAAAATGCCCAACTGCTAACCAAACGTTTTGAGGTTCAAGTGCACATGGAGGCACTTTGGATGAAAGGCCTAGTGATTCACTTCTGAAAGCTCACTAAGTGAAAACTGTATGGAGCACAATTCTACTCGGACACACAAGAGGTCCTGATGAGCTGGGGTTGGCTCCATGGCAATGGGCTCACTGGTGGTTTGGACTTCGGTGATTCCCAGCTCCTGGACAGTACTTGGCACACAGTCAGACAGACAGACAGACACACACACACACACATGAGTGTCTACATGTGGGTGTGTACTCAGTCCCTGGAGTCTAAACCTGTGGGTGGGTCTATGTCTTTCCAGCATTCAGTGAAAAATTCAGTGCCAACGACCCTCCCCAGGTACAGCTCTGGACACTAACTATAGCAACAGCAATCGCTGCAACATTATTGAAATTTCACAGACATGGTTCTTAGCACTTGATGTGAATTCTATCACTTAACAGCACACTCACAACGCTACCGACTCACCAGAAACCTACACATACACCCACTGCCAAGGAGTCGTTTCCAACTCACTCGGACCCTTTTGGCTCTAGCAGAATTGCCCCCAGAATGTTGCTAAGGCTGTTAATCTTTCTAGAAGCAGGCTGCTACATCTCTTTCCCACAAAGCAGCTGGTGGGTTTGAGCCCCTGACCTTCCTGTAAGCATCCATAATCCTACAAAGGAACTGTTGAGATCATCTCCACTGACAGAAGGGGAAACTAAGGCATAGGATGGACCTGTGGCTGGCCAAGGTTATACAGCTCACAAATAAATCAAGTCAAACCTACCTTTCTAGTAGATTCTGACCCAGAGGACCCTATAGGACATAGGAGAACTGCTTCTTAGGATTTCTGAGACTAAAACTTTACGGGAGGAGACGACCTCATCTTTTTCAGGCAGAGCAACTGGTGGATTTGAACAGCTGACCTTGCAGTTAGCAGCCCAATGCTTAACCTACTGCATCACGAGGGTTTGTCAGTCATAAATGCTGTGTGCTGTTGAGTCAGTTCCGACTCCTAGTGACCCTGGACAGGATTTCTGTGAGTGACTGCTGGGTTTGAACTGCTAACTTTATGAATAGCAGTCCAGTGCTTATCCTACAATGCCATGCCAGGGCTCATATATTGTTGTTGTTGTTACATGCTGACTCATAGCCACCTTGTATGGGGTTTCTGAGACGTGGTGGGCTTGAACCGCTGACCTTGTGGTTCACACAGACCTTGTGGTCCACAGCATCCACACCAGGGCTCATTATAGAGATGGTAGAAATTGACAACAAAGTCAGGCACTTGGATTCTATGACATAAACTAGCCACTGCACAGAAAAAAAGCTATTGTCCTTAGCTTCAACGCAGGGGTCAGTATGTGGTTATTGTTGTTAAGAGCAGTGGATAGAGTCATTTCTAATTCACAGCGACCCTGTGTAGGGTTTCGAGGAGTGGGTGGTGGGTTTGAATTGCCAAACTTGTGATTAGCAGTCCAGTGCTTACCTAACAGCGCGGTATGTGGTGGTTGTTGTTTAGTGCCATAGAGTCGGCTCCAACCCATACCCACCCTCTATTGGGTTTCTGAGGAAGGGCTGGGGGGTTTGAATCACCGACCTTGTGGTTCAAACTGACCTTTTGGTCCATCACATCATCCTGCAGAGGCACACCGGGACTTCCAGTATGAGGTGGTGGTGGTGGTGTGCCCACTCACAGCGCTCCTGTATACAGTTTCCGAGGCTGTAAATCTTTACGGGAGCAGAAACTACCTGCGGGACCATTGGTAGTTTCGAACTGCTGAACTTGTAACCACTAAACTACCAGATAAATGCTAACTTCCAGACAACTTCATCCCCATATTCAATTTGGTTCAAATTTCATAATTTGCCTGGCAAATCCCAAATTCCAACTTAGACCGGTGTAGGTTTCAAATGTACATTCTGTTTACCTAGATAAGGACTTTGCATGGACTTCTGGCTGCAGTGGGCCCTCCTATCGCCCGGACCCAGGCAGTCTTGGGACCAGACCAAAGCCGTCTGACTAGTTATGCGCGACGCCTGCGCTATGTTTGCAGCCTCGGTGCTAAGAGTGTTTCAGCTAGCAGATAGGAACTGAAGGCCGGTGGCCGCCCCTCCAGGTTGGTGGCTGGATTCTGGAAAGTCCCAGAGGCCAAAGTCGCCTCCACGCTTCCAGCTCTGTGATCCGGACACGGGTATGACCACAGCTGGGGGACACAAGAAAGCTCTATTTTCCTTCCACTGCTGGCAAAGAAACGAAGAGGATGGTCTTTCGGAAACCGAGCGGAGAAAAGACACTCTAGGGAAAACCAAAAGGAAATGGCCGATTCTTGGGAGAAACTAGACCCGCGCGTACTTGGTGCGCCCAGGAGCGGATCTCCAGCATCTTTGAACAGCTGGGAGCAAGCGGGACCTCTGCAGACCGACACAGGTGAAGGATGTGTGTGTGAAGGGGGCTGTCCTAGTCTTCTTAAATCTGCTCAAGCCCAGTTGTACATCCCGCCTCCCCAACTGCATTTCTGGTGGAGAAGCTCGCCTCCCAGTCCCGCCAAGTGCCTGTCACGGCTGTCCACACACACACACCATAACCCAACACAGGAATTGCTTCCAAGCGAGGTTTTCAGAACCATCCGTGGACTTGTTCTCTGAGAGACTGGTAGCGCCCTTTCCAGAACCCCAGCCAATGGAGAGCTGGAGCTAAAAGAGCTGAAACCACACTGAGGAGCCCATAAACTCCAAAGAGCTTCAGAATAAACTATCCGTTAATACACTTTGGTTCAGTTAAGAGCGGCACGGTGCCATCCCCTTCCCCTCAAGGGATGAATTGGTTGGTCCCTGTGAGACTGGGGTTTAGAATGATGGGGATGGGGGTGGGGAAGAACTGTCTCATTGTCTTGGGCACAAACCAGGTGTCCAGCTCCAGAAAGAATCAGGAATGGTTCATCGATGTGAACCCAGACAGTCCCCACCCTTATTCTAAGGGACCCGTCGTCTCTCAGCTCTACTTGAGGGAAAGATTGAAAAGTTTTAGCGATGACTCCCATAAATTTTAAGCAACCCCAACTGGAGACCCTTTGCCACTCAAAGAGACGTGTTTGCTTTGTCTAGATAGTGGGGAAACGGCGTGTCCCAGGATGTGTATGTGTGTGTGTGTGTGTGTGTGTGTGTGTGTGTATGAGAAGTACGGAGATGGATGCTGGAAGGTAAAGGGCCCTGGGCCAGATCTCCAGGACCCGGAATAGTAGGACTCCTGAGGGCGCAAGGGCCGGACCGGAGTTCCGCTGATCTGATTCCTGAGCGGTAGAAATATCTCCTCCCTGTACTTTGAACTTTTGAGTCTGCGTTGGTCTGCAAGGAACGCCGCGCATCTTCTCTCTGGTCCGAGCGCGTAAAATGCCCGCAAAGCTCCCCAGAGAGAGTTGGGGCAGGGTCCTAAATGGTAAGAGGTGTAACAATCTGTGAGGCGCTTAAGCCCACTTGGTACGCAGGAATCCTTACGGAACGGGGAGGGGGTTAGGGGGTTTGGGAGGTGGGAGTGGGGATTGCTCTGGGTCCTCGGAATCCCTGTCCGGCAAGGGCTGAGAGCAGCTAACCCGCTAATGGAAATTGCCTCGGAGAATAGCGAGGGAGCCCTTCCGAGGTCCGAGTATGCTGCAGGCTGGGAAGGATTCCCAGAGGATCATTATCAACCTGAGCGCAGCTAAGGGCAGAGTTTTCGCACTCGGTCCTGGGGAATGGCAGTTGGAAGTGAAAACTCGAGGCCCAGGGCAGCGAGAGTTTCTTTCCACCCTTGGCACTCGGCTTTCTGCCTGCCCCGGAGCGTGTGCTTGAGGCCATAGCTGGAGACGAAACCCGCTGACGTCCGGCACGGCACTGACGCGAATCAGAACGCCAAATTGTGGAGTAGGGCTGCGACCCCCATACCCCGTTCTGCACCCGCCTCAGTCTCAGGAAAGAGACCCAGTCCAGGCCTTAGGCCTACCCATTCCAGCGTGGAGGCCACGGGGCCCAGAGCCACGGGCATTTCTAAGAAAAAAGAAGTTTATTTAAAGTTTTGTACATAAATAAATAAATAAATATCTTCTGGTATTACAGCGACCATACAATTACAGAGCTATGCGGGGAGTGGAAGGGGCGATGCGGGGAGAGGACATGGGAGGAGACAGCGGGGCCTCGTTGCGGGAATGTCGAAGCATCTGAAAACCTGGTAAATTGGTTTTGCTGACTTGGATACCGCAAATGACTACCTCTGTTTGGAGAGAGGAGACGCCCGGGCTGCGGATCACACAGTCTCATACATACACTGACAAACAAGCCAAAAGAAGTTCCAGGAGATACCCCGACGAGGGAACGTAAAGGGGTCAAAAGGATAAAAGAGACAGAGGAGACCCTCTTAAATGCTGATGGCGGGGGAGGAGGTTGGGTTGGATAAACAACCACAAGAAAGGAATGCAGAGCAAGGGAGAGGAATGAAAAGGGGAAGCGAGGGGGCGTCGAGAGGTGAAAAGCCGAGTTTGACTGCGGGCGCAAGAAAAGAGAGGAAGCGAAGGAAGCTGAGCCATCCCGGAGACGGCGGGCGAGGGGGCGAGGCGACCAGCAAGGCGCTGGCTGGGCGGGCGGGCGAGCGCGCGGGAGCCGCCGCGCTGCGCTTCTGGGGACTCGAAAGAGGGCGTCATGTATTTGGAGTTCGCCTGGGAGGTGGGCAGGGCCCTGGGTCTGAGACACAGGCGTCGTGTCTCTGCCAAGCTCTCGGCGCCGCCGTCCAGGGCCGGGGCCTCCGTAAAGCGGCGCCAAATCAGTGCGTAGAAGTCGTTTGGCAGCGAGTGGAGGGAACCAGTGATGCGCCCCGGGGCCAGTCTTCCAGGCGCAGGGAGGGCGTGGGGTGGCCGACCTGGGGAGACGCGCTCCTAGGGAGTAACAGTGAGATCCCGTTCGTCCTTTCCCGAAGAGGACGGAGACATGGGCAATTCGTCGTCGTCCTCTGAGCACTTGACAGAGGAGAGCGACGCGCACTTGCAGCCTGGAGGCACGCCCACGCCTACCCCGGCTCCACCGCTAGAGCTCCCGCCTCCGCGGGGGTTGTTGCCTTTGCCCTCCTTCTTGTGCTTCACCCGGCGGTTCTGGAACCAGATCTTCACCTGCTTTTCGGACAGGTTCAGGTAGGTTGCGATCTCGATTCGGCGCAGGCGTGACAGGTACATGTTGGAGGCGAACTCGCGCTCCAGCTCCAGCAACTGCGTACTAGTGAAAGCCGTGCGCATTCTCTTGCTGCTGGGTAGCGGGTTCGAGTTGCTGTCTGGGAGTGCAGAGAGGAAAACGCTCAGACCCCAGCACTGTGGCTCCAGTCCCAGAGGGACAGCTAGAAATCCCCAGACCTTGGTTTCTCACCCAGCCCTTTGCCCTGAGCACCATCCGCAACAGTGGGAGCGTGAGCGCCCAGCTCTGGGGCGCTGCTTCTCCCGGAGTCTCGCCGCCCTGAAACTACCGTATTGACCTTCGCTCTTATTTCCCTCCCTGGGTACCCTGTCCAGCACCCAGAGATTCTGTCCTCACCTCCTACCGGGAGTCTAATCTTGGCCTTCGATCCAAGCGCCTACCGCAGGCACCCTAACACTACCCTCACCACCCAGACAATGCCCAGAATCCCTCCTCTTCGTTCCCGGTTCGTTTCGAGGCCCACCCTCCTCGGATTTTGGGTGCCCTGTCTCCCGCTCGGGTGCCCCGCTTACCCACGGAGATGCAGTGGAACTGCCGAGGGTCTGGTAGCGGGTAGGAGGTTTGGTAAAGCGCGGCGGCAGCCGCGGCGGCGGCCTGGCCATGAGCGACCCCGGGCGACACGGCCGAGTGCTGGCGGCCCAGGGGCGCGTGGCAGTACTGAGAGCCGAAGGGCGGGAAGGACGCCTTGAGCAGCGGCAGCGCGGGCGGCCCGGGGGGACCGTGTAGCTGCGAGGCGGTGACGCAGAGCGGGCACACACACAGCAGCCCGGCCTTGCGCGCGTGGCAGGCGCCAGGCGAGAGGCCGTGCAGCGCGTGCGGTGGGGGTACGGCGTAGGGGAAGAGCGGCGGTGGGCTGCCCTCGGGCGCCTTCTTCTCCCCAGCTTCGCGCAGCACCAGCGAGTCCACTAGGAAGGAACGCGGCATGGCCCCGACGCGCGGCTGTCCCGCCGCTAGCCCGCCCGTGCGCCCCGCACCGCTCCCCGCTGTCCGCGGACTCCCGGGGTCGGTCTCCCCTGGCAGTTGCCTCCACCCGGCAGGCGGGAAGCGGGAGCCGCTGGCCGAACCGAGGCTGTAGCTGTCGCCGCCGCCGCTGCCACGGGCGCCGCCCACCGTGAGCGGGGTGCTGGCCAGCGCTAGTGGTGCTGAAAGGCGCCGGCGGCGCTGCTTAAATAGCACTATTGCCATGTGATGGGCTACGCCAGGAGCGGCCGAGGCCTCTCAATAGGGTTTTTGTGCCTTTTCTCTTGGCATTCACTCTGCACGCTTCCTCATTATTTCACTTGTTAACTAAATGAACTGCATAATGTACTCTATTCTTGTCAACCCCACCCACGCCGTAACGGGCGCCCTGGCCCCCCTCCTCTCCCTTTTGCGGGTTTATTTTCTCATTCTCCCGCGATTTAATATTCTTTTCTTTCTCTTTATTCCTTACTCCCCTTTGGCTTTGCATTCGCGACCGGCCCGTTTATAGGATTGATTTTGCACCCCCGCTCCCTGGCTTCCCCAGGTCCCCGTGGGCACACACCACCCCATTTCCTCTGCGCATTTGGTCACCTTCCCCCACAGACCACGCTGTCTCCTCCACTCGGTTCCTCAGCTCAGAGAGCTGTGCCCCGGAACCCCTATTTCCACCTGTGGATTCCTCTTTGCTCTTCGTGTTGCTTAGTGGCTGGGACCCTTGGAGGGAGGCGAAGCGCCCAGCTTTGCCCATCCATCACTTGCTCTATCGCTGTACTGTTTTTCCTTAAGCTCCCCCAAATAGTCTTAACTTTGGGGCTGCCTACAGCGCCAGTCTTTGTTCCGGAGATGCTGATAAACGGGCCCTTTCTTTCAAACGCCAGGACCAAGGATATAAAAAATATTTTTAAAATTTTCAAGACAGATAACAGACGCTGAAAGTCATCATCGACAGAGGACAGATATGGGGATGGGCATTGGGGGTGGGATGAGGAATGGAACTCTAGACGATGATGTCGCACTCGCCCCAGCCGTGGCGGATATAAAGGGCCCCTCTCCTCGAGAACCTAGCGGGCGCCCTGTCTGCCCACTCACGAACCCCGGAGTGGACTCATGGGGGAACCCGGAAGCCATAGCTTACTGCAGTTCGGCCCCCAGCAGGGGCAGTTGTATTTCCAGCGCCGGCTGCCTTCGCCCACCCGGCCCTAGCTCCCCTTTCTCCTGAGACCCGGGTCCTTCCTCCCGCCGCCGTGTCACTCTCTTCTTTCTGGTCACACAATGGTTAAACAACTTCAAACGCCCTGCGCAGTGTACACAGCGTCAGCTTTTTAAACGGTTCTCCGGCTCCAAGCTGCTTCACCCAGGGGCTTTTTCCATACAATGGGAAATTAGCATAAATATTTCGAATTTCCAGCCCTCGACTTTTCTCAGAGAACGTTTACTTGCGATTTTATTGGGACGGAATCGCTGCATTCACCTGGATATTATTGTGAAAAACGGAGGGGAACTTTTTCCTGAGGGAGGAATACAGCTGCTGAAGATCCGAATGTGGATGGTGGGGGCAGGGCTCGGGGGGGTCCATCACTGAATCTTTTCTATGACAACAGCAAATAACTAACACTAATAACAGCTGATTGCATAGCAAAGAGAATTTGTTATGGGAGAAAAAAAATTGTTATTCCATAAAAGGATGAGGGGCAATGGGGGGAACACTCTGCATGGGGGACTTCTTAATCTAGACAGAGTTAGGGTGCCATGTTTCCCCGCTGCTTGGCACAGGATGGGAAAAAAGCCTCAGGTCTCAAGGAGCCCCCACTTTGGGTGATGCATTAAAACTAGACGGAACACACCCAGCAGCCCCATTCCCAGTTCTGATCGCTCTCTGGGACCTTTGGACTAGGCTGGGAGAAGGGCTCCCCACTGGGCGGAGGCGGGTGAGAGAGTCTGGGGTGCGCGTGGGACCCGCGGGGTGAAGAGAGCAGCCGGGCGCGAAGTCCAGTGCCCACGAGGGGTCAGTACGGATTTCTCCTGGGAGCATCGCATGATGCTGGGGAGGAAGGGGTTAAGAGCCCCTGCGTGAAAGAATATGCCCTCCCACCCCCGAAATAACCAGGGTCTTTTTTTTTTTTTCCCCTTCTTCTTCCCTTTCCAGCCTCTGGACCTTATTGAATGTCATTGAAGAAAGTTTTGAATGCCAGATAAAGAGAGGCGAATTAAAGTGTGTGACAGCGCAGGATAAGCAAACACAAAGAGAACTCTGTCACACTTTGGGGCAAAATCCGTGGGCTTTTTACCAAGTCTCTTCGCTATGATTGAATTAAGTAATAGGAAAACATTTTCTTTCAGTTTAGAGCCATTAGACAAAAACTTCAAAGCGAATAACACTTTTTAATGTGCGGCTCCACAATGGAGCGGCTTTTGTGCTGAAATGTTTAAATGGTTTGTTGTGCAACTCGGCGCGCTAGAGACCCCGGACCCTAGCAAAACAGCATCCAGAGAGAGTTCTTGGGGAGGCCTGCAACTAACACGCTGGTAATCCGCCATCTCTGAGCCCGCGGGCAGCAGGCGTGGAAAAGGGGCGCCCTGAGCGCGCGCCCCCCGGAGTGCGATTATTATGATGATGATTTTAAAGGAAGTTATGTGCCCACTGGGAAGACAGGAGGGTGGATCCCAGCTACGCGCATGCAGAGAGCAAAGGGAGAAGCTAGGAGCGCAGGCTATGGGGAACTGCTTCCCCCCACCACCACCCAAGGCTAGGAGGGCTCTGGGTGCCAGCCTGCTAGGCCCCTCAGCCCAGCCTGGTTTCGCTTCCCCAGTCCTCTCAGGCTGGTGACAATGCTGCTTTGCTGCTCAAAGCGCCTGCCAGGGGGTTTACTTGAGCTGGACTTGAATTTTCCTCCCTGGAGCTCCTGCCCCATAAGGAGGGGAGGGGCGAGGTGGGAGGGGGCGATGGGATTAGCACGAGAGCCAGAGAGGGGGCCCAGGGAGCCCCTAGGTCTGGCAGGCCCGGCTCTGTTCCCGGGGCAGGTTTTCAAGTGTCTATCAACAGACAGTTCGACATGGAATAATTTGTTGCCCAGCTTTCGGATCCCTTTGGTACTGCCTTCTTTCCTGTTGGTATGAAAACACACCATTTTTCTCCTAGAAATGTACCAGCCACAGGTCTACAGTACAAACTAATGCAGACGAGAGAGGGTGCTTGGTCCATGCCTGAATCAAGTCTCTTTCTATCAATATCATCTTCCTTCTCACAAGGCCACTGTTGATGTTGTTGTTAAGTGCCATGGAGTCAGTTCTGACTCACAGAGATTTTGTCTAGGGCTTCCAGGGAGCAGTTGGTGGGTTTGAACCACCAACTTTATGACTAGCAGTCCAGTGTTTATATCACAGTGCCACATCATGAGTAAAAGGATTTAAAATACACACCTATCCCCACCCTCCCATCTAGATCCTTGCTTTATAAGCATCTTCTAACTTCCTGAATCTTCTACTCCTTTTTCTGCCCTCAACTCACCAGGAGGACTAGGGGTTTTGGTCTTGTGCTTTGTTGCCCAGCCCCCCACCCCAGCTCAGAACAGCATCTAGCATACAGTAAGTACTCAGTATTCTTTGAATGAATGAATAAATGAATGAAAAAGACCCCTGAATTCAGAAGACTGGTAAAAGGACTTTCTGGGCTGCTGCTTCATTATATCCCAGGTGGCCATGACGCCCAATGCACTTGACCTCAACTAACTACAATAAAATGGCATGGGGTCTCTGCCAGTGACCACTGGGAGGAAGGAGTTCTTAGCCTCATCTCTAGATGACCAGTGCCTAGCATAGTCATCCTAGGAACTCAATATGTTTGTTGAGTAAATAGCAGAGTGTAAAGTCCATCTCTGGAGTCCTGATGTGACACTGTAGGATAAGTAGTAGACCTCAAGGTCAATTGAACAGCAAGGTGGCAGTTCAAGCCCACCAGCTGCTCCTCAGAAATCCTTTACAGGGTCACTATGAGTCAGAATCGATTGGAGGGCACTAAACAACAAGTCCATCTGTGGGTCCCCAGTCCTCCAAGAAGGATCAGTCCTCATACTCTACTCTGCAAGGGTAGTTCAATGCTAAACTCAACATGATAATGGCATTTGACTGAAGCGAAACACTCAACACAGGAAGAAGGGCAGAAGCCAATATGGCCCTGTGAAGGTGCTTGTATCCAAGCTGCTTCCAGGAGCCTGGGCCCCTGGAAAGTAATGCCAATTTAGGAGAGAACAGTTGCTAGAGAAGGATGTCATGCTGGGTATGATGGAGGGTCAGAGAAAAAGAGGAAGACCCCCAATGAGATGGATCAGCCAGGTGGCATCATTGATGTTGTCAAGTGTGGCAGCGGTAGTGAGATTGGCCCAGGATCAGACATTGTTTAGTTCTGCTGTGCATGGGGTCGCTATGAGTCGGTTCTGACTTGATGGCACCTGACAACAGCAACAATTATCAAAAGACCTATTTCCATGGGGTTCCTTATCAGTTGGCTTTGGAAAGACATAGGATGAAATTCACTGTAGGTCACTTCCAATCCTTGTATGCATCCCTCTTCCTTTAGACCTCAATAACCAATTTCATTGGGAAAAGGAATCCATGCTTAAGGTAGGAACATAGATCTGGATCTTCACTGACTTCAAGAAGCATTGCTAGAGTCTAGTTCTAAGGTGTTGGTGAAGGATTCCAGGGTTCCACCAACAAAGTATGGTCCTTGTAGACCATATCATTGAGAACCATGTTATGTCAGTAGTAGCTGGTGACATAACTAACAGCAAGTGTGCTTTAGCCCATATCCAACAGAAGCACTAGCCTGTCAGGCACCGTCTTTACAATTGTTGGCATTCTCAAGCCTACAGCTGCGCCCCTCTTCCAGCACTATCTTGGACACAACAGCGACATACAAGAATCCTTCAAATAGAAGGTTAAGTAGTGACCTTGAGACAGTGGGAAAGAAAAGTGATTGACTAGCTCTAATCCTGGCGTTT